TGGCGGGTTTCAGTGAGATTATGCAGGGTGGATCATTAGTCCGTGGGTGGAAGATATTTAAAATTAATTATCGGGGCATGTGGAAGGACTCATAAGACTACTAATATAAAAATATTTTCAACGAAATTGCAATTGTTATACAGGGTGATTTATATCAAAGTTGCATTTTTTTAAATAGAACCTCCTGTATATTATTGCATATTTCGATTTCTTGGCCAATTTTAGTGTGACTATGTATTACACATGATATCTAAAATGAGTCGTTTAGCGGCAATTAGTAATTTCTTCAAAAAGTAGATATCCAGTAATAATAGTAACGATAGTAAACTGTGACAATGATATGATAACACAATGGTGTCATTCATCTATCGTATACTTAGAAAATCAAGGAAAGCATATTACCTTCCTATGGGTTCCCAGTCATATGGGCATACAGGGTACGTAATGAGGAAGCTGACAAGGTAGCCCTGGAAGCAACCAAACAGAATGCGATCGATGTACCTACCTAAAATAAAACACAAAGATTTAAAAAATAAATATAATCGTGTAACTGTTTCCAAATGGCAAGATGATTGGGATATGTGTAATACTCACCTTAAAATCATCAAACCTTATACATACCTAAATGGGATAATCCTGGACTCACTAGAACAGACAGACATAACAAAATTAATTAGAGTTAGAATAGGCCATACTTCGGTAACGCATACTTACCTACTGAAGGGAGAACCAGTTCCTATATGTGCCAGATGTCGACACGAATTAACGGCAGTACACTTCATTTTAGAATGTGGCCATTTAGAACTTATAAGAAGCAATTACAACATTAGTGATAATTATCGAGATAATTTTATTAGTATGTCGCGTATAAATAACCTACTATCGTACTTGAAGGTAATAGACATTTAGGTACAAATAGCACCTAAATTAGCAACAAGAGCTAATGACCATAGCTGTCGAAGCCCAATAAAAAAAAACAATTGAATATTGTAGTTATCATAAAAGATAAGCAAATATACAAACATAAAAAGAAGACCGTGACTCTGCAATGTTACCAATCATGAAATGTGTTAACATAAGCCGAACGGTCAAAGTTAAAATTTTTTGTTTTAAATAAATCACTACGTCAATTTTTAAAATTTCAAGCAAAGGTAGCTTGTTTTGACCTTTTTAAATGGAATTACCAAGATTTTGTAATTGAATCAAATGTAGGATTTGATTACCTTTTTGATATATTATACACCGACATGTCGGTATTTACCTTTTACAAATTTTTTGTAATTCAACAATTTCCAATAATTTACAGTGTTTTTCGATTTTCAAAGCCTCTCTAGGTCGTTAAAAATTAGACACACCAGTTCAAATTATAAAGCATGTGTCGCACCTCATTTTGCTGCAAACATTAAAGAATGACCTTCTACATCTGCGATATACAATTTTTGCTGGAATTCTAGTTTTTGAAAAAACGACTCATTTTAGATATCATATGGGAATCGAAATATGCAATAATATACAGGGGGTTCTATTAAAAAATGCAACTTTGATATAAATCGCCCTGTGTAACTATTGCATATTGCGTTGAAAATATTTTTAGGTTGTAGCTTTAAGATTTCTTCATTATGGCCCGACAATGAATTTTAAATAACCCGTACAATCTGCCACATATCCACTAATGGCCCATCCTATATATCTACATTCTACAGTATTGTTATGCAGGTGTGTACATGAACATGAGACGAGATACAATTCGGAAGAATTCCTTCCGTACCTTTAAACTAAACGATACTGACTGTACAATGACAAAAGTTGTTTAGTATGTCCATATCCCAATGCTGTAGGTATAGATACATACTCGTGTAAATAACATGGGAAAATTTGAAAATGTGTCTTATTTCACGCAGTAAATTAAGGCAATGTTACTAAATTTAAAACAATAATTGAACGGAAGTCACATTTAAATCAACTTTTTTGTTTTTAAATTAATTGAAAAAAATAAAAATTGTAAATTTACAATTTTATTCTACACAAACAACAATTCACCCCTTTACCATTAAATTGGAGAATGCGATACCGTATTCAATTAAAAAAAAGTGCCCTGATGATACCCGGGACTAAGTTGTTTCTTCTTCGTAAAGTGTAATTTTTAAAGTTTTCAAGTATTCTTCCGGTTAATAATTATTAGGTATATTAAATGAACCATTTTTGGCAATGGACACCGTTAATTTCGTGAAGTTTCCTGTGAATTTTCGAAGACTTTTTCAATTTTCTGTACCACATTGAGTCTTTAAAACATTTTCATGTAAAACTGATACTTATTGAGCCAAGATTACGGAAACGTCCTTGTTTTAAAGCATATTTGGATCTCATATCTCAATCTCATGAAACCCCATCAGAGTTTTTTTCCAATATTTTGCAGTGCGTAAAGGTAAATAATAATAATAATGAATTTGTTGTCTAACAGCAACTGCCAATTTTCGGGTGATACTCGTACGCGGGGATTAAGGATTACACTCGGGATTACAATTTTTATACCGGGTGGTGCTTGGCGCGACGCAGCATAAGGATTTCAATGGTAATTTCTTTATAGTCAATTACTAGCCCCCCTCATTATTTTAGAGCAAAAGTCCAAATACGTTTTTTTTAGAGAAAAAAATACTGTATCTGTTCATACTTTTAGTTATAATTTTCCGTTTTTCAAAACCGTACCTTTACCTAATTCGAACTAAGTTATGTATATGACTCATCTCATGAAAGGTTTTATCATGGAGTACGTGATATTGAAACCAAAAAGGTCTTGATTTTCAATTATTGATTAGGTATGTGGTATTAAAACATGCTCATGTAGACCGCCTTTTGGTATAATATGTCATGAGTTAAATGGAATTTTAAAAGATCACTCAGGACATTGAATTGAAATAGATGATGTGTAGCTATCCGTTTTGTAAAATTCTCGTTTTCCCCTCTGACCGCCGCCCACGCATACAATTCGATTACCTACAGTTTCCACTGACCTATTTTAAATAGAGGTCAGTGCATATTTCTCAGAAAAAGCCTAAAAACAACATGGCAGATATAGATACATTGTATTACATAAAGCCCGAGAAGCCATGGCCTTTTCATTAATCGTTAAATTAAATCATTTTCTTTCGAAGGTGAAGTGTGATCTGTATCTAAAAACGCGCCTGATGTATTCCCTTTTAGTATCATTGTCACATTAGATGCCACAAAACATAATCTGTTAGTGATTTGCTTGATATATGAGGAGGGAAAAAATATCTGTTTTACGTCATGTAGTTTTCAAGTGTTCTACTCTAGTAGCTGCGGCGTGTGATTTAGATGTGAAAAACTAACCAGAACATGGTGTCGTCTACAGCTTAATTTACAAAAAAAAAACTACTTATGTGTCTTTAATTATGGTTTTTGTGTGGTAATCTTTCAACAATCGTAAGACAAAACAGGCGGCGATAAAATTTTTTGTGTAGGTAGACATTGTATACACTGTTCTTTCATTATAAATTTACGGCCTCTTTTACTTTCCGACCATATTTACGAACCTATAAATTCAATGATTTTATGATTGCCTCGTCAATTCCATAAATTTTACTTCAGTCATTGAAGATAAAATACGGCGATCCCATATAATTTTGAGTAAAGCCTATTAAAATACTGTTATTTTTAGCATTTCCTGGAATATGAACTATGATATATTCCACGGTGCCTTTGTGTATTTAATTCACATTTTCAAGACTAAATAACGGTTTTCCTTGTTTTATTTCAATTTTTTTTTAAATTTTGATAACTATGTATTTTTCTAATTTAAAAAAAATAATTAATTTATTGGTGCAAAAAAATATTTACTCGTATATTCTATTTGAAAAAAACGAACTTTGGTGCTGTATATCTCAAAAACTAAGCAGGTCATGGAAAATATAAATGCCCCCTCACGAAGAGACTATTGCTACGTAACTTTTATTCTTTCTACTTCTTAGAAATAACTAAGTTATAAAGCAAACATTTTTGTACTTTTGCGCTGTTGCCACGTTCGCGTAAGCCATACATCAAAATTGACATTGTCAAGGAGGTAACTAGACGTGCAACCGCATCACTCTACCTCTTTTAGTTCTTAAAATATCCTCGAAAAACATCAACAACAAGCAATTACGAACACCCTGTACAAAAATTTGGATTTACTTACTTCAACGTTGCTCTTGTGCAGTGGATTGTTTTTTTTATTTTTCGGGGGTGGAAACTACTCTTATTAAATTACTAATAATTCTAGAATAATAAGTTAAATGACGGTCAAACTACATTAAGGGATAATTGATTATTTATAACACTTTCGCTTTCTACTTCAAATTTGAACCTGGGTTCGTTGGTTGTTTAGTATTTTTTCGGGGTGTGTTATCAAATAATAAAATTATAAAATTGTAGATTCAAGTTTGTAATCTAAATCTTCTTTAAATAAATTAAATAAATTCTAAGGACTAAATTATAATAAATTGACGATTTAAACCCCTAAAAATTACACCTTATGACTGCAATAAATCGCAGTAGGAATTTCTAAAACCAATCGTTAAGAAATATTTTGAGATATGAATGACTGGAATCATTAAATTTTATAGTTGAATATAGCTCGGAATATAGGTACTTGTTAATTATTTAGCTGATCCGCGTCAGTACCTTTAAAGTTTGAAGCTTTCAACATGTCGGTTGTGCACGAGAAAATTAAAATTAGCTTAGGTACGTCGTGACCATAAATTTAGTTTTAATTTTTTTCCTGCACAACCTAGCTACCTACATGTTGAAAGGTTCAAACTTCCATTTTTTAGTATGAAAAGTGCCAAACCTCTTCTTAAATGTTAAACGTATCTTTCTAATTGTTTTTTTTTAAATTTTTAATTTTGGAAACTATTAATTTTGACGAAGCGTTCCACCCTCAAATTTCAAGTCGATATCTCAAACAGCTTCCAATTTAGGTAACGAGGAGGGAATTGGCTGCATATGAAAGGCCTACCTGGATAAATTTAATTAAAATTAATTAACATTTTATTGCATTAGGGCTATACCTATTTAATTTAGTAGTAACGTTGACAATAACTGTTTAACAAAAATATGCGAGCCATACAGCAACATCCTGAAATACATCGTTAGACACTAGGGAGTTACATTTCTATTAACTATTTTACCTTTCCTCTTGAAAACGATTCATTAAAGGTAATCCACCTCACACCTTGGAATAAATTGGGCTTGAATTTGACTTTACGCTGTAAAACCACGTGGAGTGGATACTGATACTGATGCTTGGCGAAAATTGGGAATAAGTAGAAATAAAAGAAAACTATACTGAAAGAACCCAATTGTACAGATATTAAAATCTATGCTTCCGTATTTTCCATACTTACATTCTCCTCCCTCGGTTTCCGTGTTGCCCAAGACGGAAAGTGTTTCATAGGCACAAAATATACAATCGAATGCAAGAACCACATTGCGATATTACATGGCGTAGCGTACTCTATATTCTGTGGCGATATCTGCAAAATGGGGAAAAATTAAATATAAAAAAAATAAACGTGTAAAGAAATATAGAAAACGAGCTCCTGGGTATGGCTATAACATGTGCAAAACCAAATTTTGAAACTGGTGTTACATTCGCTTTTATTTCAAATGGATATGTATGAAATTTCATTTAAATGCTTTCATAATAAGAGAGTTTGCAATCCGGTTTGTAAATTATAGAGATGTGAAAAGGGCGCTGTGAACGTTGACCGATTAGGCTCAACTTTTGGCATTGCGTTTTATATGGCTAACGCTATACGCATATTGAATTTCATGCAATTCGGTTCATAACTCACAGAGATGTCAAAAGGGCCTTCCTTATTTTTTGGGCTATATTGACCTTAGACAAGGAAAGAATATGGACGCATACTTCGCAAGCGATTGTGTTACCACCTGCCACATAATGAAATTGGCCAGTGGCGTAGCATTCGTAAATGCGAATTTTCTCTTTGAAAAATTCGGAGTGCTAATGACTACGCCTATGGAGTTTATTGAATAATTCCGTCCTTGAAGACGTTTGTTATCAAAATTTGAATGCATGGGATTGGTTCTGTTGTACGAAATTATGTATAGTCGTTGAATTTTAACATATCAAAAGAAGAATACTCAAAGAAAAAGCTTTATGATGAAAAATAGGGGTACGTTACGCTAATAAGCCCCCCAGGTATGATCATGAAATTGATAGAAATGGATAGAGGACACCTTAATAACACGTTTAGAATAAAAAAATTTGCGGAAGAGGGCCTAAATTTTCCACAACCTTAATTAAAAGTTCACCTCATTTTCTGGAAATCTGGTGTTATTTTACGTATATTTTGTAATTCTTAAGTTGGCGAAACTGAAAAATTTTATGTGATAGCTCTTATTCCACTAATAAACAAAGGTGACAGTAAATTTTTGTAGGAGGTTATGTTAACTTCTTCGTCTACTAAAATGAAATATGCTGGATTTAACGTGTAAATTAATAGAATGTAATAAAAGTAGTACAACAGGTATAATATACAATACAATTTTAGGTTTTGTTTGATTTAAACACCAAATAAGCGACACTTCCATGTGACTGTCATTTTAATAACACCACTTTTTGAAGCGTATACAGTCTAAACTTGAATGCATTAGGGAAGAAGGATGTGGTAGAGAAGGTTGCATGTGGCAACAATTTCTTGGTATCGATCACCGAGAGGGGAAACCCGGGCACTTCCTGATGCATGTTTCATATGAATCGCCGCTTAGCATCCACCGCCTAATACGGTCGAGAGGGGAAGGAACATCTTTTGCATTTTCCATGGATCGCAGGTACGTTAGCGATCGCCGCTTAACTTGGAACGCCTTTTTCGTATCGACCTATCGACCACCGCTTAGCATCCACCGCCTAATACGATCGAGAGGGGAAGGAACATCTCTCGCATTTTCCATGGATCGCAGCTACGTTAGCGATCGCCGCTTAACTTGGAACGCCTTTTTCGTATCAATCACCGCTTAGCATACACCGCCTAATACGGTCGAGAGGGGAAGGAACATCACTCGCATTTTCCATGAATCGCTGCTTAGCAATGTAGGATGTAGAGAACTACTTACTGTTATTATGGTATAATTAAAAACACATGTATAAAGTTGTATACCATTGTTTAAAGTTAATTAAATCGTGGAAAAATAACATAACCTCTTAAGAAACTAACTAAAGTTGGCACTCAGGAATGTTAAGCACACCAGTACCAACTGAAAAACAATCATGAAATTTGGAGTAATATAACCTCACTTACGACGAAATGAAGTGAACTTTGAATGAAGATTGTGAAAAATGTAAGGCTTCTTCCGCAAATTTTTTAACTGATAACGTGTAATTAAGGTGTCCTCTATCCATTTCTATCAATTTCATGATCATACCTGGGGGGCTTATTAGCGCAACGTAACCAAAAAGAGGAAAATACGTGGTAACGGCATTAGGCACATTTTCAATATTTACGTCTGAAATGAAATTCCTGATTCTTCCTTCTCTCTCCGGCTTTTGTATCCACAATCTGCACAATTCACCATGATTTTAAGTTGTTTTTTGTGTATCTCCTCTCAATTTAAGCGCAAAAACCGAGGCAAAAACTCATAAAAAACGATGTTACTTAAATGACATTTGTGCCACATATAAAATGGCCCACTTGTTTAAAAAGGTAACACGATTCATACACGGGCTGTACAGCATACGCGGTATTTGGACTCTTTCCTAATCTGGTGCTAACGAGCAGACGGACAGACACCGCAAAATCATAAACTGGCTACATTCGCGGTTAATAATCTGAAGCTCAAGTCGTCCATGTGTTTAAAGTAGCTGACACTAAAATTGAAAATCTTGCATGCGTTAAGATTGTATTTTTTTCGACTACTCTCATTTATCTTTTATTGCATTTATAAATATCACGTTATCATAATTGGGTTATTAATTATAAAGAATTACTTATATTTTATATTGAAGCATTCCTGTCAGAATAACTACGGTTTTAACGTATCTCAATAACGATAAATGGTGCAGGTGGCAACAACCTTGCGGTTTACAGACGATTTGAATTAAGAAACAAAAGTGACAAAAATTGATTCAAAATACAATGTGCCTTTATTAAAAAAATTAATTATGGAGATTAGTGGAGTTCGATCGTGTTTAAAATTGACCTCTAGCTAGTATCATGGCGCTTCTGCTATAATTATACTTCGATAAAGCATTTTATGTATTCAGCTATACGTACCAAATGATAATATACAAAAGTTACGTAAAAATGGGCCACTCTGATACGGTAAACCCCGTCGTCTGGTTGCATTACCTAATTTGCTGCAACGTGTTATCGGTTATCAACAATTTTAACACCATAAATTTTAATTACCTAAATTAAAGTGTGGTATTCGGAGATATAACTAATTTTTTGTGACATGTATAAACACATTTCGCAGCTTTGTTATCAGTACATAGATTGGCGTGATATGTTGATCGCGAAAAATGGGCGACTCGAAAATGAAGGAATGTACCTGATAGGTACTGAATTCAATGTACTGATGTACTGTACTACTTTCATTGTGCTATAAATGCTATAATTAGCATACCTAGTGTAAGTACACTATGTAATTAGTTACCATTGTATCTTTGCAGTATTTAGGAAATACTGTTTAAAAAATTCACGGCTAACTTCACGAGAGAATCAGTAAGATTTTACACTTCAGTCCCATTGTTGTTTTTCAAAAATCGATCTTTATGTATTAATCAAAGTTGGACTGGGTCAACTGGGTCACCTGGGTCACTAAATTAAACTGGGTCACTGGGTCGCTGGGTCACGTCATACTCTTTTCAGTTAGACCCAGTGACCCAGTTTGACCCAGTGACCCAACTTGACCCAGTTTGACCCAGTGACCCAGTTTGACCCAGCGACCCAATTTCACCCGGGGACCCAATTCGACCCAGTCACCTAGTTTGATCGAATAACGCAGTTAAGTCAGTGCCCTCGGTTCAAGTGTACAGATTATGAAATAAATGGAATGCTGGTTTGTTGAAAATAATACTCGATTGCTTGACAACTGCCATTTCTGTGATGTTTGCTTTAATACTGCCGTAAAAAACTTTCCATGTCCCGATTTGTATTAGAATAATGTTATTTCTTTGCTTCAGGGCTTACCAGTTTGCTTACAGGTGTTCATTCACATTTAACACACATTTCTAGTTAGCTTAATCCAAATAAATCTTTTCTCTAAATACTGTCATTGACTACTTGACTACAAACTATAAACAAAAGCATTTTGATTTTTTTAGGTATTAGTTCTCTTGAATGAAATTGGGCTACGTGCTTGTTGCCGAATATTATTGAGGAAGTTTTTTTTAAAATTAAAAGTTACTTGAAATTGTTTTGGATGATACCTAACAATAATTTAATTACTGGGCCACCGGGTCAAGACGGGTCACTGAGTAAAGCTGGGTCAAGATGGGTCAAAGCTGGGTCACCGGGTCAAGCTGGGTCACCGGGTCAAGGGTCTGGGTCACCGGGTCAAGCTGGGTCACCGGGTCAACTGGGTCACCGGGTCAGTAAACTAACTGGGTCACCGGGTCACTGGGTCACTCTATGCTTGACCCAGTCCAACTCTGGTATTAATAATTGGGGAGGATGTGCACAAACAACGAGAAGGATTTTTTAAAACGCCATTCAGCATATTGCAATTTTTTACAAGGTTGCTTAATGATGGTTACAATCGTTTTCAAGCAAAGTTTTGGAACTTTTTCGTCATCAGAAGTGTCACATCAAACCATACCTATGCAAGCTATTCACGCAAACCGTAACCTAAAAGTATTTAGGCTTCCATTACTTTAAATCTGAAAATTTTCATACCAGCATAGTTTTTCATGATCTTTCGAAAGAAAATATTATCATGATTGTTTCACTTTCGCGTTTACCGGATGTGGATAGCAACTTTCTTATTTTAAGTAGAACACCCTATATTTTATTGCCCTATACCCAGCATCAAAGGTTTCCAAGTTATTCAAGATTTTTCAACATTTTTGACGTTTGACTGCGTTTCTTTAGCTCCCTATACCTATGGCTCCGTTGGCTTGAATTTCAAAAAGTCTTCCAAAATCAACAATACTGACATGACGCTACATGCGAATGATTTAAATTTTGATCGTCCTTCTACAGGGTGTTTTCAAATGAATGGTCAAGTTTAAAGTTCAAACCTTAAAAAGTGGAAAAAATTTTTCGTTCAACGCCGAGTTCAACGCTATAACTTTCTTGCGCGTCTTCTTTCCGAGATTGAGAGGAGGAAGGGAGTAGAAAATAATTGTCTGTTTCATGGCATTCCAAGTAAAGGTCTCAACAAAAGGAGCTGTTTTCTACCAACAACCGCTATACTTGCTGATTCCTTATAAATAGAGGGGGGGGAGACTGGTTTTATCCTTCATGGTACTGTAATGAAAGGTCTCAACGAAAGGAATTAATTTCTACCAACCATAACCTCCTCCTCGACTCCTTATCGTGATCGGATAAACATAATTCCTTATGTCCAAATTGTCGAATGATGATACTCACAAAGTCACAACGGGCAGTTAGGGCGTCTGAAAGAAATATATCTATTGGTGATGTGATGATGTCAAAACTTTACGAGCGAATATCTCGAAAACGCTTTGTCGGAGGAAAGTACCCATAAAGGCAAAATGAATTCTCTAGACGAACCATATCTATTGATGAAGTATCCCCACTAATCGTGTAACAAGAAAATATCGATAAATATAGCATGCTACTATCTTATAACGCAACCATTTACTGAGCTATTTCAGTTTTAAAAATGCGCTTTATCTGCACAATTTATACTTGTTTTTTTTTATAGACAGTTAATGGAGAAATGTATTTTTTGTAAATCGTTTACGATTACTTTTGTAACTTATTTCAAATAAGGATCGCAAAGTTAACGTCAACATAATCTCAAACCAGGTCTCAAACGCAACACCTTTAATTCCAACAAGTTAAAAAGTAATCGTAAATAATTTACAGAAAGCGCATTTCCACTTGCATTCATTTCCCATTTGCAACTTTTGTTAAAATCGTAAAAATCCGGCCACAAATATGAAAAATAGCGTTGCACATGTGCAATCCATTTTTGACGTGCTACTTCAATTTCTGTTTATAAGAAGAATTTCATTTCAATGCTTTTCTAAATAAGAAAGTTGGAACTACGCATGCGCAAATCTAAATTTTGAAACTAACGTTAGAGTTTCCTTTGTTCCAAACGCCTATGTATCGAATTTCATTTAAATGCTTCCATAGATAAAAAAAGTTGGCACTGCGCATGCGCAAAATAAAATTTTGAAACTGGCGTTAGATTTTTCTTTATTCCAAGCACCTATGTATCAAATTTCATTTAAATGCTTTCATAAATAAAAAAGTTGGACCTGCGCATGAGCAAAACCAAATTTTGAAACTGGCGTTAGATTTTCCTTTATTCCAGGCGCCTATGCATCAAATTTTGTTTAAATTCTTCCATAAATAAAAAAGTTGGCACTGCGCATGCGCAAAAACAATTTTTGAAACTTGCGTTAGATTTTCATTTATTCCAAGTGCCTATGTATCAAATTTCATTCAAATACTTTTATAAATAAAAAAGTTTACAATTCGGTTTATAAATGGTCGAGATGCGAAAAGGGCACTGTGAATTTTGAATCGATTCGATTCAACTTTTGGCATTGCGTATTATATGGCTAAAGCTATGCCCATTGCCCATATTGCATTTCATGCAATTCAGTTCATAACTAACGGAGATGTCAAAGCGATCGGACATTTTTAAACAAAGTTATCGTTCACACGGACAGATAGAGGGACAGACAGGCAAAGGAAAAGACGGACAGACCACAGACCAACAGACAGACGACAGACAGCAAGACAAAATTATAAACCATCTCTAGGATCGTTAATAAACGGCAAAAGTGTAAAATTATGGAACATGTAAAAACAGTTTTTTGGTTTTTTTACAATAACTTTTTTAGTAATAAACGCAGAAAAAATTCCTTCCTTGCTACAAGCCTCGACACCATAACGAACCAAATAGCGAAAAAAGTCGAACAATAGCTCTTAAGATAAAGAACTAGTAGCGTTGAGCCTAGATCCTTCACTCAACGCTAGTAGCGTCTCAACGAACGAGGGGACGGACGGACGCTGACGGATAAAGTGGCCACAATAGCGCATTTATTTTTTATTTTTGTGGAAATGCGCTAAAAAGATATGCAATTTTGAAGACTCTAAAGGTAGCCTTCCATTTGTGACCGTCAGCGTCAGGATTAAGACACATTTTTGTCTGTGGTTGTTTGTTTTCGGTTAGTAAAATCACTTGGGTGGTTTTAGTCAACAGAAAGGCGGATGAGGTAGGGGTTCAATTTCAATTGCATAACAATTAATCTCGAATAGGGTATAGTAACGTAACATGTCTTAAGTTTTCGTTTAGTAAAATCTCATCCTCTTTGACAGACGCGACGCGTCCGGATCATGTGCTAAAATAGCTTCCCATATTTTCCCTGTCCTAGAGTTGCAAACTTATTGCACGTACTGAATTGTTATTAGGTACTTACTTAATTGAATTGGGTCAATTGCAAGGCTTCTTCATTAATAGACAATGAAGCCAAAACAATAGTGCACAAAATGAATTTAATTCACCCGCTAGCACTTCTTATGACGACGACAGCAAGTAATGTTTGATTATCTATCTATACTATTTATCAATGCAGTTTGGTTGTTGTGTAAGCATAGTATTTATGGTAATTAATGACCTCCGCGCTATCAATTGTAAGATGCATCATAAAATGCTCACCCGTTAGAAGATAAAAATAATATGTTTAATTAATATAGTTACTTATTTTCAATTTCGTTAAAATTTATGGGTGTTACAATATTTAAAAAAAAGATTAGATAAGTATGCATGACAAATAACAATTTTTATTAATTTATCGCCAATTGCACGATCACATACTACTGGTGGGTTTATACAATCATAAATCATTATTATTAGTTCACTATCCAGATCCGGGGCCAGGCGGTGACCAGGTGGGGCTGAGCCTGAACCTGAACCTACACCATGGTTTGGCCCCATTCATATAATAGTATTGTTTATTTCTGTGTATTGGAGAGGATAAATATACCTCAAAGGGTAGCAGTAACACATCAAAGATTGCCCAATTTGTCATTTTTAATCTTTGAAAAGGTAAGAACATAAAAAGTTGATTTGCAGGAGGTAGATACTCAGTAAATTTCATATCTTGAAAAATATAAACTTACATTTATTTTTATTGTGTGAATTAATGTTTTTCTCGTAAGACCCACCTAGAAAACGGTTTGCCACTTCTGCTATTATACAGGGTGATTCCTATAGTACCTGCCACCGTTTGGGAGCGTGTAGGTGGTGCGTAGGGGAGTATTTTGATATAGGACACTTGGGGTCGGAAATCTAAAATAAGGGTGCCAGAGCCAAATTTACCTTCTGGAATTTCGCGCCTGTAGGTAGGCAACCCAACCGGCCGGCGGTGCACACGGGCGCTAGTGGGCTGCGAAATAGGAGGAGGTCGGTATAAACAAACAAACTTTTCGAAATGGGTGCTTAAATGACCCAAGTATCGATGTGCATCACGAATCTGTGTGTAAAGTTAAGCCTCCGTCAGCTTACCTGCAATTGCCCTGTCTCGCACAGTCGGAAGTGAACTTCTTGAAAGACCTGTCTGCAGGGTAACTGACGGTTTGGATACCGCTCAGCGTACGCTCGTCGTGCAGCTCGTGCGTTACCATTTGCCAATCCGTACATGAAGTGCATGTCCGCGTATTCCGTGTTAGTAAAACGTGCCATAGTGTTTATTCACTTGATACGCGTCGTTGCAGACGGGATTTCGTGGGTTTAAACAAAATTCTGATCAAGTGTCAGCCACACATCGCCGCCTGAGATCGCTCCGTGTGCACCGCCGGCCGGTTGGGTTGCCTACCTACAGGCGCGAAATTCCAGAAGGTAAATTTGGCTCTGGCACCCTTATTTTAGATTTCCGACCCCAAGTGTCCTATATCAAAATACTCCCCTACGCACCACCTACACGCTCCCAAACGGTGGCAGGTACTATAGGAATCACCCTGTATGTATTAAAGTATGCAGAAGATGTAGAATTACCCTGTCATTGGTTGTTGCGGTTGGGTAAATAAGCTATTATTATTATTATTAAAAAGCAATTCACCGTCTTTGCGGAGTTCATCTGAGATTAAAGCAACAGAAATACCACCTTCAGCATATTGGGCACCATGTGCCAATTCAAGTTATCAAGGCCACATCCGATCTTTGTTATTGCCAGCTTGGTAACATCATGAATTTGTAGTTGTTGTTTTAAGCGCTGGAGCGCAATCCAAAAATCTTCGCAACTACTTAGGCTTATTGCTAGACCGATTTTGAATTATACGACACCAAAACGTTCCATAGTAATGTATGTACCATAAATGCAGCGAAAGTAGATTGTGGTATTTGTTTATGATGCAGCAGCTTCCATAATGCACCTTTGATACCGCTGAGGGAGTCACGATGCAACACATCATCTGCAAGTTTCGAGAAACTACGCTCCAGTACCCAGGTACTACTTCTTTGCGCGCGTTCGCTCGAGTCTATGTGTTGTGTGGTGACCAATTGACCATCGTGGGACGAAGACGTACTAACGGTCTATCCTGTGTTTGATCAAATTGTGTTCGTCAAATATTAGAAGAAATCTTTGAAAACTCTAAGTACGGGATAATATTATGTATATAGGTACTATGGAAGAAGAAACACCTGTTTATCCTGGATGCAACAAATCTGTATGAAACCACCCGCAGACCAGGTATGAAAATCATCTACCATCGAGCATCGCATCAATAAGTAATTACCTATTAGTACCTATGTGGCTACCACAGCAGACGGCATCAAGAAGAGATCACCTTCGGTCGCGTATAGGAAATAGAGAAAAAGCGATTAGCGAACGATACCCGTAACGCAACAGCTCTAATATTGTGATCCCTTCGTTCACTATCTGTAATTTATTAACATACATGAACCTATCACAGTATTTGACGAGTAATCTACAATTGCTCAACTTATTATTTTACTGCCAAACGCGTTAAATAGCGAAGACCATTAGTAAATCTGCAGAAGTGTATTGCAATTTGATTTAATGGTGATGGTGCCTTTTCTTAAGTTTGCTATGTGCCCTAATACTGCTGCACCCAGCACTGTTCGGGAATTTCGAACATCCCAATTCACTCGTTTCACCTAGGTCGGTGCGTAGGGTTTCTACATTTGCCTTGACATCCTCTCCATCCCTTTCTCCGTCGATATCTTTGTAGGCCCAATAAAAGCTGTTGCCATTTTGGATGAGTAAACCATTGGCGAGGCCGTACTCAATAGTACTACCGATAATCTTGGCGGCTTTCCTTAGTGTTCTCGGTAAATGTTCTTGTGTATTGGCTTGCCTCTTGCGTTTACGTTTAAGTCTCTCTTGTTGATGGGCGAAATCCAAATCGTTGATGGATAATTCGGAATCAGACGCTCTACTGGCTGTGGTGTTATCACTCCCACGCCAATACGCGCTAAATCTACGCACGAAATGCATTACCTTACCCTCATTATTTCCTTCCTGATTGTCACCGATCGGAGGGTTGAGACCTAAAAATAACGCCGTATTAGCATTATCGCCTTTTTATTACACAAGGCTATTTACCTTCCATTTAAAATGTTTTTACTAGAATTTAACAAGATAATTCGCGTGACAGTTTTGATTGGATCAAAGATACTTTGATCTTTTTTTGCGTTCTATTTACCCAAAACTTTTTATTATACCATGCCCTCGACCATGCCTAAAACCCACATTAAATTTCCACTACATGACTCAAACTACAACCTTATACGAAACTTCACGCACTAATAGTGCTAACGATGATCACCACACTGAAAGATACGTTTCAAAGCAGTTTTTTAATCTACAACATAACAATTTCCGAAATAATCGAATCGCGTAGAGAAAGGCGTAGGCGAAAAATCATGCAGTGGATTTCGGCGAATAAGTAAATGCGTAATTATTAGTCTCGATCGATAAAATTCATCGGCTGGCAGTGCAACAGAGGAGTGGAACTCTTTTCCAAATGAATACAGTAGAACGCTGGAAGCCTTTGAGGTAAATAAATCTGCCATAAACACTCAACAGTTTTGTGTAATTGTACATACCTACGAATATAACAAACTGCATACCCCCGGTGACTAATCCTTTATCGACTTTATGGCGCCTTAACACCTTAATAACGTTCTAGAAGGTACGCTACAGTACTCGTATTATTAACGAGCTCCTAGCGAGTTTATAATTTTGCGATGTCTGTCCGTCCGTCCGTTAGCACGATAACTCATAAACGAATGGACCAATTACGATGAAATTTTGCAGGTGGATCCTTTATGAAATTTGTAGATCGGAGTTCGTGAATTGGCAATGTAGCCAAAAAAATAAAGTAGGGCCTTTCGACATCTCCGTTACTTATGAACCAAATTGCATGAAATTCAATATGCGCATAGCTTTTCAATTCAATTTCAAAAATTGAGCCTAATCGATCAGTATTCACAGTGCCCTTTGCGCATCTCGACCATTTACAGACCGAATTGCAAACTTTCTTATTTATGAAGGTGTTTAAATGAAATTTGATACATAGACTCTTGGAATAAAAGCAAATTTAACGCCAGTTTCAAAATTTGGTTTTGCGCATGCGCAGTGCCAACTTTCTTATTTATGGAGGCATTTAAATCAAATTTGATACATAGGCACTTGGAATAAAAGCAAATTTAACGCCAGTTTCAAAATTTGGTTTTGCATATGCTATAGCCATACCCAGGAGCTCGTTTGCTATATTTGTTTAATTTATTAGTTTTCAAAATCCAAATGTTATTTTGCTTTTTCATGTAAGTGCATGGTCAACATTTAGGCCAGTCGCAAAATGAGACGCACCAATGGATATATTTCTTGCAGACGTCTCAATCGCCCCTTGTGAGCACCCTCTTCCGACAATCCGTTCTTGAGGTATAAGGGAATACCTATACCCGATCACGATAAGAGGTCGAGGAAGAGGGCTATGGTTGATAGAAATTAATTCCATTCGTTGAGACCTTTCATTAGAGTACCATGAAGGATAAAACTAGTCCTAGCCCCCCTACTTTGATAAGAGGACAGAAAGAAGGGCCGCAGTTGATAGAAAACGGTTCCTTTCGTTGAGACCTTTAATTAAAACACAATGAGAGATAAAATTAATTTATAACACATTTTTTTAATTCTTAAAAAATGCGCTAAAAATGTGTGCAGTTCTTAGCTTGTCAGTATAAGCCGTTTTCTTGATATTAAAAAATGTCGAAAATAAGAGAAAGCGTATATTCTAAATGAAAAAGTGTAAATGTACAGAAGATATTACAAAATGCAAAGTACAAAAACCCTATAGGTACCATTTTTGATTACGAATACAACGATGTACCGCACAAAAACAAGATGCTGCACCCGCGCACAACGCTCTAATTATGTGAGAATACATAGCCAACTAAACGGAGAAAGTTGTCACAATAGTCCATTTTTTAGCGCATTTTTTTTAATTAAAAAAGTATTGTTTGTGTTTTGTCTGCCCGTCCGTCAGTCCGGACCCATTTATGCGGTTTTGAACTACTTTTAGGGGAATAGTTCTAGAGTCTTGGAATTTTTTGCAATATGTAGTCTACACCTTGAAGGTGTGCCAGGCGGTCATCAAATTTCGATGTCTCCCCTAATTATTTTACAGGTGGGTGTAGAGTAAATCACGTGAACATTTGATAATGATAACCGCATGTGCTGGATTTAAAGATGTTAGCATGTTACATTATTTTTCAGCATCAAAATAATGCGTTTGAAAACTTTTACAGCTCCAAATTCATGTGTAAAGAATAATTTTAGGTACAGTTTTCTCTAAAACTTTTAACCTAGACCACAGAGAAGAGTTACATTGAATTGTTACACATCTAAGAGCATCAGTAGGGAATAATCTATAGCGAAAGTCCGAACTCGATACATGACCTAGGAAATGAAATATGTTGATTTCTATTATATTGAGCCTGCAGTTTTTCCTGTTCCCGATTCACTCGAAGACCTATAACTTTTATTCCTGTTGAACCAGCTTCCTGAAAATGAATAGTGCCCGTCCTTAATGTCCAAAGTAGGTACCCGTACATCAAATTTCAACACAATCGGACACTTTTAAAAAGAATTATAGCGTACACGAACGGACGGACCGACGGACGACAATACAAAACTATAAAGGATCTGAGGATCCTTAATAAATGATGACATGACCAGACGCAGAATTTTTCAAGCTACAAGAAACCTATTTAGAACTTTGCTCTAAATTTAGGGGAGAAAATATTTCGATATAAAGAAATTAGCAATGAAGTCCCTATGGTGCGTAAACCGTTTCTACACCCTGTACAGCTGGCTGATTCAAATTCGAGGACCACTAGGGGGATCTCGAAAACTGTAAGAAATAGCTAGGTCTCGAGGTAGGTAGTTTAAATTTGGCAAAGTTTACGTATTTAGATGCTTAACAAAATGCCGTTTTGAAACTGAAATTCCGACTACTTGCGGAGAGAAAAACGAAATTTTACAAAATCATTTTTACTTCATACTGAAGTTATTTAAAAAGATATTTCGAAATAAATGACACATTTTGGTCACTCTTTTCTCTCTGCAAGATTCTAGTTTTAAATTTTAAGTCTGACGTTTCGTCTCCGGTTAACCATCATGAACTTTGTTTTGTCTTAGGGAAATCATTTTTACTTTTTTGTGGCATTTAATAGGGAATTTTTGCTGATTTAAAAAATGTAAATATCATTGTTTTTTAATAAGAAATGGCGCTATTAATTTGTAAATAACGCAAGAAACTACAAACATACACTACCCAAGACAAAGTTTGCCAGGCAAAAAAAGATGTTTTAACAACATTTAAAAAATAGTGGTTTACATTTTTGACATCCGAAAAAATGCTCTATCACGTGACACAAAAAGTAATAATGACTTCACACTTCTGAAACAAAATTGATGTAGTTAACTAGAGACGAAACGTCAGACTTAAAATTTAACACTAACATATTGTAGAGGGTTAAAGTGGCCATAATACCTAATGTGTTATTTATTTTGATAACTTCGGTAAACACAAAAATCGATTTTGCAAAATTTCGATTTTTCGTGATATCCCCGAAAGTAATCGGAATTTTTTCAGTTTGAAAACGGCATTTTGTTAAGCATGAAGATACGCAACTTTGCCAAATAAAGTACCTACCTATCTCTTACAGTTTCCGAGATCCCCATGGTGGCCCTCAAATTTGAACAACCTGTATATATGTATAAACGGGTGACAAATTAGTATCTTGTTCAGGTGGTTGGAGAAAAATAACTACCTATTGCATACTCGAAAATAATTAACTGCCAATACACCCTTGTTACATGTACGTCTACATTCACGAACAAGACATTTTTTTGCCTTTTTAGCGGCTATTTTATTATTTCGGTTAGGGTGTATCCCATTTTTGAATTACTTCAAAATTTCATGGGTTTCAACTATAATCAACTAACTCGAGCAAAGCAGAGTTAGTTATAACAAATAATAAGTAAACAAGAAATAGTAGAGAGTAACATGAAGAATGATTTTTCGAAGGATGTATACGCAATTATGACGCTTTATATTAAATTGGAAAAGTAGTCAAGTCATTGTCCATATTATTCTGTCGTTTTTTTTTGAGGATATTTGATATAACTGTAGATTTACCCTTTCGCTAGCTAGGAGGCGTTTTTACAATTTTTGGGGGAATTTTGCGAAAGCAAAAAATTTCTCCTATGTGAAGATTTTGTTCGTCTGTTCCTCGTCTAACTTGAGAACGAAAAGAACAAAAAATTCCCCTACTGAAAATCGTATGTTCGTTCGTATCTTGCTTTTAATTTTTTAATCAGTTACCTACAAATTATAATTGGTGGTTTGTTTTGAAAGCCGTGTATGCTAGGTATAATACAAGATCTCTTTTTAATAACAAATGGAAGTACAGAAACGTACGTGCGTTATTATAATAAAGGAAATATTAAAATAGTCTTTTTCCTGCGGAATTTGTATTTTGATTGTGTCGTGCTTGACCGTGCATTAAGTTGATCAACCACCTGTGCAACTTGCTTTAATGAAGGGCTTTACGCTTTATAATTTTACTGGCTAAAGGCTACAACCCTTTACGTAGAAACGTTTCTTAGAATTTCGCCTCCTGCTAGATATCCTTGCCGTTAGCGTTATGCATTCTGAACGATTTAAGATACCTGGAAGTACAATTTACTGGTTTTTTTCTGGAATTGTTAGATAGATTATTAATAATTGTACGTTTTGTTTCAGAATCGTACCGACGAAGGACATTACGAACTAGATTGCGGCTATGAATGTAGTACAAATAAGGTAAGTGGATATATTAATACCGTAGCAGGATATGAAATCCGAGAGGGAATTACTATAAGGTCTTCTTTTAAAAGGCACTGACTTTAAAATCCATCATACATTTGATACCTGTATAGTGTACAATGCCTTTCATCTGGAGCACTAGCCACAGATCCGTTTCCGGTATTAAATATCGAAATTACACGTGACACAAAATCTAGTGCGGATTATTTACCTTTAGTTCATAACATAAATCAGCAAATGTCTAATGGTGTTGGAAAGCTAATCTGTACACATTTTTTTTAATGAATTAACCAAAATAATGTTTTTTTCCTTAAAAAACACACACACATCGTGATTTATGTTAACTTTAGGCATTTTTTTGCAATTCGGTTTGAAGTATTTAGTACGCTTGACTAAATCAGAGCCCAGAGCGTAAATCCTTCGAGCTTGATGGGGAAAAATGTGTCACAACGGCGAATCTGAGATTACAGATGTACGTAAAGTTCATTGTTATGTTGGTCAACTCCATGGAATCATTTATTTATGAAGATATTATACTAATATTTAATATTTAGATGATCAAAACAAAGCTCTAATGAGATTGTTATTATTTTTTAGGTAATAACAGATTCGATTTACGTTAATTTTTCGAAGAAATTTCATGTTTTTGTTAATATTATCAACTCCATGGGAAGCGCGTTTAGTTTTTGCAGCATAGATCGATAAAAAATTATCCAATTCTTAGCCAGTTCAGTATTAGATATTTTATGTACATACAGTGAGTTTTTTTTAAATGCGAACATAGGAGTTTGTATGCAATGTAATTTCCCTATGTTCGATTTAAAAAAAACACATCAATCTATGAGGTGTGCGCGGTTCACATTCCCAAAACGCGCAACTTGTGTGACTTGACTATGAACCGCAACTCATAGTCTTTATGATGAAGAGCACTCGGCCATGGCAACTTTAGGATACATTTTTCTTAAACTTACGATAACTTGACTTCACATGGCACGCGCTGACATCACAATTCATTGTGAACCAACCTTCAATTATTTGTAGGTCATGTGTACCTGGTATTCTACTAATTTAATTTATTCAATACATAAATGAAGAAAATAAGTAACGAAAACAATTACATAAATGTTCGAAGTGTCCTCCTTGACATTCTAAGCAATAGCCTAACCGATTTCGTAATTAAATTGGACGGCGGTATTTTTAAAAATGTGACAGCTGTCATTTGAACTACTCAATAGATTGATGTGTTTTTTTTTAAATCAAACATAGGGAAATTACATTGCATGCAAACTCCTATGTTCGCATTTTAAAAAAATTCACTGTATATACAACTGTATGAATATTAAACGATTTTGATACATTTTTCATTTTTATTGAAGATCCTTGTCGATTTGTCCCCGTTTTGAAGAATGACCCATAATCACCATCCAGTCATTTTATTTCAAGAAGTTCTAATCTATATCTGAAACCGTTTCCAATCGAGTCACCTTTGGAAGCTCATGTTAAACATGATTTCCCACATGTAAACAAAAATTCCAAAGGTGACTCGACCAGCAACTCCTTGATCGCATCGTATAAGCACATGTAGGATTACTAAAACGAGCAACAAAAAGCGAGTTTATGATTGGGAGTTTTTGTCCGTCCGTCCGTCTGTGGACACGATAACTCACTAACGGTTTCGAATTTTCCATTTCTGTTTTTAGCAATAGGTAGACAATGGTCAAGAGACCAATTGATTAAATTTTAGCCAATTTGTGCCAACCGCAAGTGACTTTGTTGCTAGTTGTCTATATTGGTGCAGTTTATTCTCATGTTCTCTCATTCAATATAAGGTCCATAAGAAATAAGAAAGCAGTAGTCTGTATTTTCTATTTCTAGCGTGTTATGGAAATTCTGATAGTAGATTCAGATTCTCCGACAAAAAGTGCCCATAGAGAAAATGCAAACGAATTTTGACATTTTCAGTTTTTCGGTGATATCTAAGTTACTTTCAAAAATTTCAAATGGGTTTTTTTAGTCACAAGACCTATTTGACCTACGTACACTGTTGACTATATCCCACACCCTGACGGAGATCGCAATGGTGACCCACGTATTTGAACTACTCTGTAGTCTGTACTCCAGATCTACATCAAAATTGACTTCCAAATTTATAAATTCATCTTTTAAGTTAATCTGCCAATTAATAGTACATTGAAAGACAAGTGTTACAATGCGACCTATTGTAATACGACTATCTTGTGGCCGTCCGCAAGATAGGAGTATTACAATAAAACATTGTAACACGCGTTTTTCTTACTATTTTTTCTATTTCGGTGCTTTAATTTAATTAAAAAAATCATTATCAGAAACTATAGGGAACATTAGAACCAAGATATATAGAGACTGGTAGGCGCGCTTATACCTGTAAAATTTGACGCCAAATCCGGCGCTAGGTAAACTCAATCCATAGATGGCGCCAGGGTGATCAGTGTACTTCAAATGAATGTCATTTAAATTGTTTTAGGTTATGATGTTATGTACAAAAATTTTTTACTTAGCGACTTGGTGTGGTTTGGCATCTACAGTGTGTTATACCTAGTTATTGTTGCAAACAATTTCGGTAAATAAAATAGACAAGTACTAATCGGATGTATAAGCAAGCAAACTTGCACATCGCACTGTTCACTTTGCTAAAGTTCAAAGTTACAGAGCATTGAGGGGTTCCACTAAAAAGGATGCTCGTTATCATAGTAAATAGTAGCGCAATACCTGCATTACAGACTTCTCACCCCGTCTAGCTGTCGGAGCTTGTACTGGATCAAGCGAAGTCAACAAGTCATTGATCAATGTAAACCATATGTGAACAAACCAGGAGCCGCCCTTCTTATATTAAGATAAGCATCAAATGACCCTCACCTACACAATCTACGGTGTAAGCAATCATGCCGAGAGCTGTAAGAACCTCTGACACAAAATCATTATTGCCCGTTTGATTAGCGAGATTCTCGGCTGCTGAGATGGGGATTGAAGGAACTGGCAAAAGTCTACATTATTACTGTTAAGATGGAAGGTAGGGGGGACCCGACTTGTTCAACCTACCTTTTTATTTTATAACTTAATCTCGGAAGCTCCCAGGATCTAAATGCTGGATAGAAGGGGACTAGTGCAATAATTTTAACCAACTTCTGTTCCAGGAGTGTGGCTTATCCTAACCTTAGTCATCTTCCCATTTAACGCCTCTGCAAAACGACCAACTTCGGACTTCAGAAGAATGACAGATCACTGCGTAGGCAACGACGTGGAATTGTATTAGGTGTCGATGCTAACGATGTGTGGGGAAACACAACTACACTACACTTCTGCAGTCTGCACAGCTTCCTTGCCTTGGGTCTCATGCCGAGTACAATTACTTAGTGGTCGCTCTCCTACTTTCCATGGAAATTTAAAATACAGATGCGTTAAAACATAGACCCTTTTTCCATATTATTATCAGGGAAACTGCCTGTTACATTTTTTACAAATATTTACAAATAAATTTTCTATAAACAACGTCAACAATTTAATGAGACCAATTTTGCTAGTTACGCATATTTTTAAGAAGCTGCGCGTTATGACAATCTACAAAACAAGAATTGTAATTATTGCATTTACACTAAGTAGGTATTTTGACTAAAAAAAAAGTCGAAATGCTTCAATTACATACTGAAGGAACTCGAAGTAAAGATGTATCACGAGTTAAGGGCGTATTGTGGTCTCAAATCAAACACTTTCTCATATTTGATGGTTTAATTCAAATTTAAATGACGTGTTAGAATAAATTGACAGTTTTGTGAAGTACACTGGGATGGGTGGCGACATCTAGGGAGCGATTTTAACTGGCGCCGCATTCTGTCTTACATAATGGCGGCGAGTCATCCTACCATCTTTAATATATCTTGATTAGAACTAACATGTTTTATGTTGGGAACACTTTTTAAGCCGTTAAGTTTTAGGTTGGCAGCGTAGTAAGATTGACATTTTGAAGTTCAAACATGGAAGTACCCAACGAAGTACCTACTTGTATTAACTACTATAGTAACTGCCAACTTAAGAGATGAGTTACCAAAAAAAAACGACTATAATCACTGTCTTTGTACAACTGTTTTCGGCCCAAAACAGTTGTACAGAATCATCATTGTGACACCGAAATAGAAAAAGAACATTGTACCACCGTCCTAATACCGTCCACCTTCGTTTGTAATTTCCAAGAGATATATAGCCTTAACGGTTTGATGTCTCGTTACGAACAAATATTATACGTGTAATTTAGTATGGTAAATTCTTACGTCACTGAAACAAAGGTTTGTGGTGTTCTGGTGTTATATAATGTAAAAATAATATCTGCTGCTATGAAGTGGTACAAGTTCAGGGCGAACCTTTTCAATTAGACGGAATATAGTCTTCATAGGCCTAGTAATTAGTCACGATGAGACGAAACAGCTAATTATCCATGATTTGTAGTTAAATGTTTTGTGTTTCACACAATTTTACTTATAGGTATGATGAATTACTGAGAATTGTTATTTATTAGCGTCATACATAATTGCCTAAATTGCTAATCGCTTATATACAGTAGTATTAAATGTTGAGTCAAAAATATCTCATTACATCACATGTCATCATTTAATTTCGTGACTACGTAACCCTCTGCCACAACGGCCCAAAAACAATTTTGTTAAAATCTTTAAAGGACAAATCCTATTCACTATTAAAATCGTGATCCACTGAAAAGCGAAACGGCCGCACATTTTACAAATAGGGAGTTTCCCTATGAAAAACCGGTGCGTAATATTTAAAACCTAAAGGTCAATAGTAGAGTAGATAATTGTAATGCTGTTCAAATGGGCAGCAAACATTGAGCTCGAGGACACTTCGGAACTATTGTAGTTGTAATTTAATTCTAGCTAAAGTGGACGAGACACGCTCAGCACCCACTTGTTTGCTGCTTTTGGTTGCATCTGCCCTAATATATGTCAGAGGGCTCGGAGCTATGACCGAAAATTAACGTTATAATGACATTCGACGAATATTGCTCCTATTTTATTATATGCTTTTTGTTTGACAACAATAATTGCAAGTTTAAAGATAATTGTTGCCGTACGTCCAATCATTACCTACAGCTTTTTAAAGAACCTCCCAAAAAATGCACCAATTTTTAGTGAGGCTTATTATTATTTCGTAAGCAGCTAATACAATATTCATTGTACCTACTTCAATAAATTGTATATTCGTCATTCATGCTGATAAAATAATACCATTGTAAGGTGTATACCGGGTGGTGCCTAACGCGACGCAACATAGGGATTTCAATGGTAATTTCTTTATAGTCAATTACTAGCTCCCCTAATTATTTTAGAGCAAAAGTCTAAATAAGTTTTTTTTAGAGAAAAAAATACTGCATCTGTTCACACTTTTAGTTATAATTTTCCATTTTTCAAAACCGTAGAAATCGACAAAATAAAAAAGTTCATTTTACAATAAATCAAATATGCCTTGGAATTACCTAAAAAAACAGCGATCACGTTGCATTATTCGCCTTTGACATATTAAATTTATACTTGTTTATAAATTAGTTAAAGAACTGCAAGTGCAATAACGTTCAAAATGTCCGTCAAAACCATCAGGAAAACGACAATACATTCAACGTTTTGGCTGCAGTAGCGGAAAATCCGAATATAACTTTAGGAACAAATCTGCTTCAAATCAGTTTTTTTTCTTCGATTATGTAGGTACTCTGATTCTCTCTGATAAACAAATAGTGTCTGATGCAGATGCAGTATACATTCTCTAAAAAAACATTACCCAATTGCCGCTTTTTCTTGCATCGGATAGTTGTAACAGAATTGAATATGAAAATCGTTCGACGTCAAATAACGATAACTTAGATGCGATGCGCTTGTAGTTTGTTAAAAGATTCCAAAGCAAAGCATCACTGATTTATAAAAATGTAATTTTTTATTTTGTCGATTTCTACGGTTTTGAAAAATGGAAAATTATAACTAAAAGTATGAACAGATGCAGTATTTTTTTCTCTAAAAAAACTTATTTAGACTTTTGCTCTAAAATAATTAGGGGAGCTAGTAATTGACTATAAAGAAATTACCATTGAAATCCCTATGCTGCGTTGCGCTAGGCACCACCCTGTATACAGTGATAATATTTCTTTATTCATTGGATAATACCTACATACAAAGTGAAAATAATATCATTGAATTTATAACTATAATAGTTATAAATTCAATGATAATATCAAAGGCTATAAATCTGTGTTTAAATTATACATTTCTTGTATCTTGGTCATGCAACCCGTATGCATATGGCGTACTGATGTGTTGCCTACAATCGCACGCTTTCCCTTAACTTTTCGATAATAGTAGAATCCCCAGTGAAAGCTGCCAGAGTTTGCGATTGAATCCGGTTGAGCTTTAGAGCGCCTAATTTTAGCACTTTATTTAGTTTTTGCTTATGAATCCTAAACGACCGTCCTTTCAAAAATGTTGCATTCTTTTTACAGAACATTCAATTCTGCGTCGAATGATACCAACAAAAGGGGTCCGTAAAGTTAGCAGAACATTGACGGCACAAATGTCGGGACTAGGTGGATTGGTTAAGGCCGTATTAGACGATGCAATTTTTATTGCAATCCTTGCAGCAACTATTGCTGCTATTATTGCAGCAATTATTGAAAAAAGATGCAATGATTACACTATGCAATTTATTTGGCAATTTTTTTATACCCAATTCTAATCATGTATTGGTGCCAATGAAAGTGGAATTGGCATCACTGGGAAATACTTGAAAGCAACTTCAAGTCTGTTGTAGACCAGGAAACGTGTGTTTTGTGACGTTTCCTTTGTTGAAGGCCGTGCAATTTATTATTTATATTTGCACGCACTTATTCACACTCATGGCCGTTTGCACCGACAAATTTAAGTGGAGCTTAGCTTAAGCGTAGCTTAAAATCCATGGCAACGATTATTGAGACAATGGTTGCCATGGATTTTAAGCTACGCTTAAGCTAAGCTCGGCTTAAATATGTCGGTGCAAACGGCCATCAGGTTCGTTAAATTCATTGAGTAGGTTTAGGTTTCCCTTTGTGAAATCGTTATTGGCAAGCCACTGCCTGGTCCAAAAATGTCGTCGTCTTCTTTGTTTCTTTTTTTTTACAAGAGCAACAGCAGACGCAATAACTAAAGATGCGGCAGCAATATCCATTTTTGAATTCCTCGTAAATAGGTTATTTCAGTTTTAACTTTAAATAACAAACCTGTATATAGCATAAGGAGGTAATGTTCTCCAGTGCATACCACTTTATTTTTTTTATAAATTAAATGTTACTAAAATAGTTACTAAATTGCAAGAAAAATTGCAAGAAAAATAGCATCGTCTAATACGGCCTTTAGTGCTTCGTTTGTGCCGGTTTGTGCCGTAAAAAGTTTGCCAGCAAAACATACGGTTTGGAACTCGGTTTGGAAGTTAGGTATTTCGATTTTTAGATGTCTGTAGATGTTTGCTATAACTTCGCACACTTTTGTCGGCACATTTCGAGACTAGATGGATTGGTTAGTGCTACGTTTGTGTGGTAAAAAGTTTACCAGCAACGCATTGGATCTAGGAGCCTTCACTCAACGGTTGAAACTAAGTATAATGTTAATGTCGCGCATGGGTTAATGCTATCTTTGTGCCGGAATGTATAGTAAAAAGTTTGACCATAAAAGGGACTGTGTGAAAACTCCCAGTACGTTTTTAATATTATAGCTTTCCCACAAGTGTAGTGCGCTTTTGATAACACTTTATTGTCTAATTTGTTGGCAATTGTATGCCATACATTTGCAGACGGTTTGTTTATATAATACCTTCCTTGTGTTGGAGAAGAACGTGTGTGTCAGTTTCGTTTTTTCAATGACAGCATTTCGCGGCGTGTTGTACCTAATGCAAAATGATTGAAGTTACATTTAGCATCTGTCTGTGGTGTACTTAGTCATTCGTGAGATTGGGTCTCCAAAATTAATGGTAAAGAACACAGAGGATAACTGTTATATAAGTCCAAATCTGCTAAATTCGGTTGCACTACATGAAATAGATAAGAATCCCTAAGTTCCGCCGTTGTATATGCAGGATAAGTGTACGGAGTCAGGAAAAAACATATCGGACCTAATCTCATGTGTTTAGTGGAACAACTTGTATATTTTAATCTAAAAAAGTAGCATATTAAATATTTTATTTTTGCTTTTATTTTTGAGTGGGCGGGGGTTCATCCAAGGTCGCTCTACCAACCCAACCTACTCTACATTTACAAATATCTATGCCCGAACGCCGATTCGCACCAGGGACCCATAGTACCGCACTCCAGCCTAAACTGAATTGCGAATTGTTTTCTATGCGATTTTTTAAAACTTTATTACTTTAAGTCACAGTAGGCTACCAAACACAATGTTTTATTTCGTTCTCAAGTTTCTATAACTTTTTTATTTACTTTCTTGTGCCAGACTCTTTGTCTGTTAAAATGTT